TGGAAACCCTCACGAGACTTTACTCGTCCACTTAGGGCAACCTTGTGGTTTAAAGGCTTGTTGCATATACTAAATGCAATCGTTTTCCCACGAAAGAGGAAATAGTTAGATTTTGTTTAATTTAATTTTATTTTTGTTACTTGCTTGAGGACTAGCAAATTGTAAGTTGGGGGATGTAATTAAGGCCGAATTGTACATCATTAAGGCCGTTAATTAGGATCTCTTAACTTCACTTGCTTGTCAAACTATATACTTTATGTGTGTTAAATGTCAATCAGGTTGTACCTATTTGGAGCATAAAATGGGCAAAAAGACAGAATTTGGAGAGAGTTGACTTTACAGCACGTGCGTTGACTTTGTTCGCACTTGCGTTGACTTTTTCGCACATGCATTGACTTTTTTGGGAAAATGCGCTCGAAGTTTTAAACCTGTTTGGGAAGAGAGCTGAAGTATAAATAGAGAAGAAAAAGGCTGGATTAGGGTTCCAAACTTGTTTTTGCAAAAGAGAGAGGCTAGGGTTTGGGAAAGAAAGAAACTTGAAGCTTCAAGCATGTCTCCCATGGTGGCTTCTTCTCCATCTACCTCCTTCCACTCCTCCATGAGTGGCTAGTCTCCTTTTCTAGGGTTTTGATGAAACCCTAGCCATGTAATTAGTTTTCTTTTTTATTTTCAATTATGTAAAGGTTTGAACATTTGTATGGTGTTTTAGAAGTTTCTTTTATATAATTTTCATTATTTCTTCAAGTATTCGGCTTTCTGTGATTGTTGAATGTCTTCCATACAAGAGTTTTCTTTTTCTTTCACATTCAAGGTATGAGATGAACCACACTACAATGGACGAGTCGTGTCACTACCTTAGTTTAGAGTGAACGATTCGTACTACTTGAGATAGTTCATGCTCGTGCATTGAATGTGATGATCTTCTTGTTAAATGCATTGAGCTTGCAATTGCGAAGCATTAATCTGTTCAAACCATAGCATAACTGATTTCAATTGGAAACCCTTTTTACGTGACTAGTGGTGGACTCTTTACCCTAGGTTTTTCCCCAAATCAATAAATCCAATTTCATTTATTATTGATAATTTCATTCCTTAGTTTAATTTATTTTTTATTAAATTAGGTTATGAACAATAAATCTTTTCATCGAAATTAATTTAGGAATTTAATAATTAAATTAGTTTAATTTCACAATTGTCTCTATGGATCGATACCTGGACTTGCCATTATTCTAAAAGAATTTGATTTAGTTTAGTGTTTAACGACCCATCAAATTTTGACCCAAATTTCATTCTTCAGACATCAACGGGATCCATAAATTTAGCATGTCTAGTTACAAGTTACTTTAATCTTCAAAATTGGACATAAAGAAGCTTCCCAAAGAAGCCAACATATTGGAGCTAAGGCTAGTGCAATTAATGGCCCGTTATGTCATTATAGAGAAAAATTTTCAAATATGAGAGAGAGAGAGAGAGAGAGAGAGAGAGAGAGAGAGCACATATTATCACTTCATAATTCCAAACTAATATGCTAGTAAAAGTTAGTGGAATCTCATTCTGTTCCTTCAAATGTCAAGCAGTCAATTCTCAGAATGAACGTTCTCATAATACCAATGCCTAGCCCAAATGATCCCCTTGGTGATCTCATTAAGTATAATTGTTGACCTTCTTACAGTTAGACAAAAATAAGTGAAATGAAGAAGGCTTTTCAGCTTCATGTCTGCTAACCTCCTCAAGCGGTGATGTTGCGCAAAGAATAAAATGGTTCTTGTAACTAAGAAAAATATAAGAAAACTACGTATTACGCTTCCAGCAGTTGAAACAAACTTACCACGGATTCCTGTATAATAAGAAAGAGGCACATCTACATTTTGAATTTTAAATACGCTATGTGGGTCTTTAATGACACTATATTCTTCCCATCCACTCATTCACCAAACCAAGTCACCTTTCTTAAAGTTTGGATGTCCAGAATCCAAAACTCTAACCACTCCATATCCAGTTATAGGCTGCAAATTTGCTTAAAACATCAATAGGAAAAGTCACTAGCAATAAGAAAACAAGAAAAGTCATTAGCAATAAGAAAACAAGAAAAGTCACTCATGCAAACCTATGATTATCAAAAGACCACAAAAATCCTAAATACTGGAGCCAACACAAACAATCCTGGCCTTTACTTATAAATATATATACACAATCTTGGCCTTTGAGTTGACTAAGGTACCCTGTTTTAACTTTTGCCAATTGGTGGTTTCAAGTGGCTGGTTTCACTACAAGAAATTAAACTTTTGACGACTAAATTTTTAGTCGCCAAGAGTAAGGTTTTTAGTCACCAAAATATTTTTCCGACTAAATATTTTTGTCACCGCATTTGTCGCAGGAAGGTTGTCGGGGAAAGTATTGGCGACTAAAAAATATTTTAGTCGCCAAAAGTTCTATAAATGGCAACTAATATTTTTAGTCGCCAAAAATTTTATTTTCTGTTACTAAAACTTTAGTCTCCAAAACTTGAAGTATCTACGGCGACCAAAGTTTTAGTCGCCAAAGAGTATTTTTTTCATCTTATTTTATTATTATTATTTTTATAGCTACTCAATTCTTAGTCACCTAAAGTCTACTTTTATTTTAGCTATTAAATATTTAGTAGCCAGAAATTTTTCTCTATTTTATTTTTATTTTTAGCTACTAAATATTTAATAACCAAAAGTTTTTCTCCATTTTATTTTTATTTTTAGCTACTAAATATTTAGTAGCCAAAAGGTTTTTTTCCATTTTTTTTATTTTTAGCTACTAACATGACAGTTGTATTTAAATAAAGAATTAGAAAATTACAAGCTTGGGTGGGATGACAGTTCCATAGCTTGGGTGGGATTTATTCCAAACAATATCTAAATAAATATAATTTGTATACCGAACAAATTATCCACAATTTTTTTTTCTGTCAAGCCATAAATCAACACAATGAGACAAACTCAGGACATTTATAATCAAGTTTTGGGTGAGATTCCACCCTAGATCTCAACTAACCTTATCCCAAATCTAGGTGAACTTCTGCAGATTGGCCTACATTGTAAAGCCATTTATCAAAAGATTAAAATGATAGCTACCTAAGAAAACAATGGTTGCAACACCCTTAGTGTCCAAATCTGAACCACTTTCATTCACAAGATGTTGCTCTCATCAGAAAACTTGTGTTCCTGAGCCACACAACTGGACAAGGATGCAAAGAATAATCCACAAACTCAAAAACTACAAATCCAGCATTCCCTTCTCTATCATTAAGCAAAAGAGCAATCAGACGAGCATGTTGTTGTAGGTGCTGCAATTTATGTCTCTTTGCCATCTTTTCGTTTTGTCGTTGCTGTTGCCTTTTTTTTCTTTGTCTGGAACTCGTGCAATGATTCATATTTAGGAAAACTATGCAATCAAAGAACAGGGAAGATTAATTTAAGATAAACAAAACTGAGACACCTTTATTTGACAAGCGGAGATCAGTCAAAATATTAATAGGGAGGCTTCAGGAAACTTCAATTGGAGGTGTAAACATATGAAATGCAGAAGGTTTGGCACACTATGACTGAATTTTCCAAGTCCCGTTGAAGGTATATGATTATTACCAAATCTTTTCCTTAGTACAATGAATCAGTAAGTAAAATTCTTGCAGCATAGCTAAGAAGAAAGATGTGAGACATACCTTCTAGGATCGCAAGGTAAGGGGTCAGTCCAAAAATATTCAGCACCAAGGGCATCCTTTGCAGATATTCTCTGTGTGAAATGGAAAAGGGAAAAGGGAAAAAAAAATAAAAAAAATTCAAGGAATTGAAAGTTGTAGAACAAAAATGAAAAATATATGCATAGAACTGCACCAAATCTGATAATCTGTGCTTATATGTTCATGGCCTTTCTAATCGAGTTTTTGGAAACAGAAATGCAAGATGCAGTCACTGAAAGCTACCAAAAATCAACAATCCCTGAAGACACAAAGATGAAACCCTTATGATCCTCAACTGTATATAAAAATGTGTCATTAATTGATTTAGGATGAATGTGTTTTGATGGGATATTGGAATCAGACTATTTTCAGATTATGCAAGCCACCTCAATTACTAAATTATAAGCTCAAAAGGATTTTACAATGAAGCGGTGAAATGTATCATTTCCCCAAATTATACTCGCAAAAAAATAATCATCCTCCTGGTCCTTCCAAAGCCCAACTTTGTTTGATATGCCTTAATTTCAAAGCAACTAGCTAATCCTTTCTCTGTCAAGAAGAACTCTCTAGCCAGTTGTAGCAATAAGGAGTTTCTTGCAGCTAAGGTTTTAAATCCTATTTTATAGAGCACTATAAATACCCAATACCTTGGATACATGGTTGCTTACCCAACAAGATCTAAACTTTTAATTCAATTTTTATTTTATTTATATACATGTAAATTTTTTATTTATTTTCTGAATAAACAATTAGGGCATGAAAAGCATCCAAAATCATTATGTTCCATTTAAGTTAATGAAATATATATTTAGTGTACTTAATCACAAAGTCAGTCAAAAAATGGATCTCGGTTTTATTTTTTAAAAGATTGAATTTTGGTAGACCTATAACAACTAATAAAGGGTTAGCATTTTCTCCACACCCTTTTTGCAATAAGTCAAAACTCAGATTTATATTGTCATTTTCCAAACTAATAAAGTAAGTCATTTTATTGACATTGTAGTGTCAGTTTCTCCAAACTAATGAAGTAAAAAAATTATCATTTAGTTTGTCAATAAACTAATCATTTTAGTCTGAAATTTATGGACAAACTAAAATCCTTCCACACCCTGTTTCTAGACCTAAAACAAACTAACAAATTTTGGTACATCACATTATCGCATAATTGTGTTCACTGGCACACCTAAATAAAAATGCTATGGCTATGAAGTGTCTGATAGTCTATAATAACAAGTTCACTAAGCCTGAGATTTATGTGTACCTGAGGTTGATCAAGGGTTAGCATTTTCTCTAGTAAATCCAGTGCATGACGGTCAAAACTGCAAAGCAATATAAGAATTATGGATATCAAACTTCTTGCACTAAAATGGACACCAAAAAATCCAAGTCTAACTAACAACTTCAATTTGTATACTTACTGTCTAAAAACCTCCCTCACTCGCCTCTTCATCGGCCTTGTTGGCTTGAACTTGTTATACTAGGGAATCTTGGAAACCCCAGGCCAAATAATCTCATCTGGAGATCTACACAGCTCAAATATCTTATTCAATTGTTCAGGCTGTGGTAAATATTCAACAAATAGAACATTGCATTAATTGTACATAACCTAGATGAAACTTAAATTCTATGAATTTTTCATCTTCAACACCCTGTTCCAGCTAATTACAAACTAAACCATTAAAGTCCTTCATCTTGGTGGGGTTGCAATATTTTATCAGGGCTTTAAAAATATGTCAAATAATAAAGATTTCTTTCATCGCTAGGCCGGTGAATGTAGATGTAGATCTTCTACAAGAAACTAAGGTGGCAAGGATAATTGGGGTACAATAAATGCATCTGCATTAAATAATCTGAAACTACATAATTTATATTGGCACTTAAGATGCATAAAAACTAAAGAACAAACACAATTAAAACATAAATGTCTGAAAAAATAAACTTCACCTAAAAATGATCAAGAAAAGGCCATAACAAGGGCACACATTTAATCTTGATGGAGCTTCCGTGGGTGATGGAGATGCTTTAAAAGTCCATAACTTGTCAATCTTGAACCAGAACAGGGCACACATTCACAAATATTCACTAGTATGTATGCAGAATATTCAAAAAAAAACAGGAGAAGTTCATGCAATTAGATTCAATATTTGATTAAGAAACACAAATAGAAGTCCAAAACGTTGAAATTAGAATGCAAACCAAATCAGAATCCAAAACCTAAAATCTATAGGCCATAATATAACATATCTCTAAAAATCCAAAACCTAAATTCTCCATTTCTTTTCAATGAAGAGCTTGACAAGTGTAGATTTCCAAAAATCCAATACCTACATACACAAATTGAAAGAGAGAGAGAGAGAGAGAGAGAGAGAGAGGTTACTGACTGAATAGGATCTTGGAGCTGTTGAGCGCGAGAGCGAGGGTTAATGCCCTTACGGAGGAAATTGTCGTGCATATGATGTTTTTGGACTCGATCTAATCGTTCACCCATCTTACATTCTCTGCTGTCAGCGAGATCATTTCTCCTCCAGACACGACGGCTCCGGCGGTGGTTAAGGCCGCGGGAGAGAGGCAAGAACAAGAAAGAGGAGGAGGAGGAGGAGGAGAGAGATAGGACAAAGAAGAAGGTCGCGGCCACAGCAATAGCAGCCGAGAGCTCCAGAACAGGCACCACAGAGGAGACGGACGCTAGAGAGAGAGAGAGACAGAGAGAGAGGCGCTGGTTTGTTCTTATTTGGAAACCAAATATATATATATAAAAACAGTAAGGGCAGTGCTTGGTCCCCCGAATGGGGGTCCCCCGAATCCCCACAATTTCCCTTTTTAGTATAAAAAATAAAAAAAAAAAGAAGACAGAAAAAAAAAAAAAAAAAACAGTTTCTCAAAAAGGAAATTAGGGGGATTAGGGGGACTTTTTTTTAGTGCTACAAAGCATTTTCCTATATATATATATATGGTACGACTAAAACTTTTAGTGACTAATTAATTTATTTTATTTAACCCTCTAGAATTTGAAAGGTTTCCTTCCAAATATTTTAACTTTTTGGCAATTAAATTTTTTTTGTTGTTGAAAGTATGTTTTTGACGACTAAACTTTTGGTCGTCAAAACATAAAAAATAATTTTTTATTTTTAATTCGGCGACTAAATGATTTTAGTTGTCAAAACTCACTATATGGTGACTAAAATATTTTTTTGTCGCTAAAATTATGTTTTTGGTAACCAAACTTTTGGTCGCCAAAGATAACAAATAATTTTTTATTTTACATTTGGCGACTAAATCGTTTTTAGTAGCCAAAACTCAACATATGGTGACTAAAATAATTTTTTTGTCGCCAATTCTAGTATTTTTAGCGACTAAATTTTTTTGTAGTCGCCAATAATTAATATATCCTGACTAAAAAAAATTAGTAGTTAAATATTGTACTTTTGCCGACCAAAAAAATTTTTGATCGCCAAATCAATGACTTTTGGCGACTAAATTTTTTTTAGTCGCCAATTTTGATCGCCAAAGGTATATTTTGTTGTAGCGAATTAGTGGAAACTGCCAATCCAAAAATAAGAAAGGAAGCTATTCATTAAAACATAGTGAAATATAAAGGGAGTTTTATGTATCAAAAAAAAAATCTGTACTCTTTTGTGTGTGTGTGTGTGTGTGTGTGTGAGAGAGAGAGAGAGAGAGAGAGAGAGAGAGAATCTGCCAATGCCACATTGCAAATTTCAATTTTAAGACACCAACAGGATCCATAAATTTATCAGGTGTAGTTACAACTAACCCACTCTTCAATATTGGACCTAACGAAGCACTACTACAAGCTCATTTGTTCCTTCAAGTGTCAAGATAGTTCTCAGAATAATTGTTCTTGTAATTTATTAAATGGTCCGCTTGGTGATTTCATTTAGTATAATTGTTGGGCCCCTCAAAGTAAGATAAAAATAAGTAAAACGAAGAAAGCTTCTTTAACCTTCCATGTCCTGATAACCTCCTCAAGTAGTAATTTGTGCAAGAATAAAATTATTCTTGTAATTTAAAAAAAAAAAAAGATATGTAAGGGAATCACTTATTGTGCTTGCAGTAATTAAAGCAAACAAATTAAACAAACTTACCAAGGAATCCTGTATAATAAGAAAGTGGCACATCTATATTTTGAATTTTAAATACGCTTTCTGGTAGGGCTGTCAATGGATCGGATTTAATCCGAATCCGCCCAGAATCCGATCCGATAATCCGAATCTGTTTACAAAAAAATCAGACCTGATAATCCAATAATTCAAATCCGTTTATTAAACGGATTGAATATGCAAAAATCTGATCCGACCCGATAATCCGATAATCCGATCCGACTATTCTCAATTTGAATGAAAAAACATAAAATGAAAAAAAAAATCAAATTATATAAAATTGTAGCTCAGTAAATAAATAAATGGATCGGATCGGATATCCGAAATCATCGGATTCTGATTTGGATATCTATAATCGGATATATACTAAACGGATTCGGATCGGATTCGGGTTTGCCTTAATCGGATTCGGATTCGGATTTTGACAGATCCGATCCAAATCCGATCCATTTACAAGCCTACTCTCTGGCTTTGTAATGACGCTATACTCTTCCCATCCAGTTCTTCCCCAAACTAAGTCACCTTTCTTAAGTTTGGATGTCCAGAATCCAAAACTCTAGCCACTCCACCTCCATTTATAGGCTGCCCAAAAACATTAACAAGAGAAGTCACTTGCAATCAAAAAAAGAAAAAAGAAAAGTACTCATTCAAGCTTGTGATTTCTCAAAAGACCACACAAATTCCTAAATATTGTATCTAAATTGAGGTTGAGGGAACAAAAAGGATAAGAGGAAGGCCAAGCATACAAGTTGATTCAATAAAAAGAAAATTGTGCCCTCGATTTAACCATGATACAACATTGGAAAAACCTGACACTTAGGAGATGTTGACTACACTAGTTGGAACAATTAGTTTGATACGTAGTCTAGAAAAAAAAAAAAATAAGCCTTTCAAAAAGCCCATCTTAAAAGCCCTTGCAAAAATCTAGGGGCAAACTTCACTTTACCCTTTTTAGTTTGGCATGTGTCGTTTATTGTCTAACGTTTGTAAATAACTACATAACTCCCATGTGTTTTGTAGACTAAAATGCACTATTAATTTTTCCATCAAAGATGACAAAAGGTGAGAGTCACACACCCTGGAGAGAGTAGGTTAATTTTAAAGATGAAAATATCCTCTCTATATCTTCAAATTTACAAAAAATGCCATTTCTTCCATTTTTCTATTCTTTCTCTCTCTACACCTTTCTTCCTCGACCATTAGCACATCCTCTCTCCAGTTCTTATTTTTCTACTCCGCCTGCATTTGCACAGCTCTGCCTCATCAGTTCGCAAATCCTTAATAATAATTAATTTTTTCACCATTACCATAACAACAATAAATCCTTCACTAGTTATATATATATAGAGAGAGAGAGAACTTCTCCAACAACAATTTCAACAGTTCGATACCCTACACCAGACAATTTTCAGTCTTCAATTCCACTTCCTTTCTTGGCAACCCTTTTCTCAGAATTATCACAGAACGTTGTGGAGAAGGAAAGTATGAATTATAGCCTAAAGTCTCTCCTTCTCCAGCAAATCCAAATTAATTATGCAAACAACTCATGCTTGATTTGACATGATATTGTTGAAATCATGGAATTATTTACTGTTGTTATTTCCTTTCTCATATGTTGTAATTCTATATATATTAGAGTGATCTGTTTTTTTTTTTGATAAATATATATTAGAGTGCTCTGTTTTGTAATTCGTGGTGTGTTTTTCTTTAAATTTTCTGTCTTCACAAAATTATATATATATATATATAGTAAGGAAGCATCAATGGAGCCTAGAAAAAAACGATTATGTGTGAGCAGTAATACTTTATTTCCATTAAGTAGTCATAGTTCAAGTCTGAGACCACTATTGACTCTGGAGTAGAGGTTGTTGTTTCACTAATGAAGGTTCAATGCAGAGCACACATTCATGATGCATACTAGTCTATCTTTGTTTGGTAATCTCTTTTGTCCTTGTTGATATTAAAATGAGTGGGGCATTGTTGGACCATTTTAATATCTTTTATTTATTTATTTTGGTGACCTTTTGTCTTGTTCATGAATCTTTTTTTTTTTTTTTTTTTGGTGACCTTTTCTTTTGTTTATGAATGGAGATTAATTGGAAGGTCATGGGCTTGGTAGTGAGTTGATATTTAGAGGTTTTAGGACTCTACCTTTTCTCTAGTTTAATGGTCATTATTTTTGGCGTAATTTGTAAGGTCCTAGTGGCCTATAAATGTTTCTCTCATCTACTTTTTTCTAGACCAACTATTTTTTACACTTAAGAGATTACTAACCAAAGAAGGTTGATTTTTCTTGGTGGAGCTTTGGGTTCAGCATCTTGTGCAGAGTTGGCCTGAACCATACGACAAGTGGTCGGGCTATTGTATCTTGGAGTGGACAAGTCATAGTTTAGTAACTGCTGCATCGGTATTTGGGTTCTTCCTACCGCAGTGAGTTTGATCTCCTTAAACAAAATGAGTTATCCATGCCTCAGCCTGATCTATTTATATCTCATTTTCTTTGCATTATTTATCAATAAAATATAATTCTTCTGGTGTTTTCACCAACATAAGCCATATATTATAACCAAAAAAGAAAGATATATAATAAAGTTCAACACACATCTTTTGCAGGGAGAACAAAAATAAACAAAAACAAACTACTCCCTCAAAAGAAACAAAACAAAGCGTATAGAAAACAAACACAACATTCACAACAAAAAGGATTCAAAATTTCACTCTAACACTCTTCAAGTTATGAAGTTTCGCTTTGAGTTTTCTTCTGTTATCCTCCTTTATAGTCTCCCCATCACTAGGGTCACTTGGAGATGGTTCCCTCTATTTTTTAGGATCTTGATTTAGCACAACAACTCTTGACTTAATTCTCCATTCCCTAACTTTCTCATATCACATGATTCAAGGACATCAAAGGCATTAGATGTTGAGGGGGTGGAAGACTGCGTTTCTCTCTCTTTGTTTATCACTGTCGTTGAACCTTGCCCACCATCTCTTCCTTTTTTCTTCACCACTTCCCATTTAGTCAGAATTTGTATATTAGTCTCCTTGACTCTTCACTCTTGTTTGAAAGAGGGAGGGTTCAAAGTCTTTGGCTTTTGAGAGCACAAATTAATGGTATGATCAAAAGTCTTACAAATATCACACCTTTGAGGCTTTCATGGAACCTCAACTAGAATCTCATACGGTTCACTAAATTGGCATTGTATTTGTAGCAAATTCAGTAGAGCAATGCATATTTCTTAAGATGTTGAGCATTAGGCTTCACCTGGTACCTAAAGTGCTAGAGTAGGATGCAAAGTTTGAGTGCAGTGAATTGCTTAAGTGAGATGTTCGACAAACAAGGAAGAGTTTTTTGATCCTCTAAAAATAAATAAATAAATCAATAATTCCAAAATCCAAGTGACAAAAAAATCAAGAATGGATGGCAAATTATAGCCAATGTGAAAGGAAAATTTATAAGTGTTTATTTGAATGACATGTACATGGGGGAAAAAATGTGAAGGTGTTTTTCAAAAGATCAAAAATCAAGGTTGCGTTTGGTAGAGTTTTCTAAATATGATTTGAGAGTAGGAGTTTTATTTTGAGTTCATGAGTTTTGA